ACCTACAGTGTATTTTGTGGGTGAACACACAATTCTCACAACAGAGATCAATTATGCTGCTGCTTTACAAACATTTTACTCTCTTTATTGCACTGCCTCAAACCATTACACTGTGATACGGCCACTTTGATTGGCTATTGATAGCCTGTTTTCCTGTTCCTGCCCTAAACTTGTTCTCGTCACAGCTGAGTGGAGCAGATAATCGCTGAAGTTGCCTATGAGTCTATGAAATCCTTACGTTTAGATGTGTCCTTAAGTTTAGTCTAAGATGTGTTGTTACCTGAAAATACTCCTCAATATTTATCTTTTCTTACCAAACTATATAAACGGAAATGAGAATCTAAAAAAAAAAAAAAAGGTTTGTCTAGGAAAGTCTCAAGAATATGTAAATCAGAATATCTCTTCACTAATGAATGCAAAAAAAATGCACTCAGGCAAAACAGTTAACGCTAATCAACACATCTCGATCGTCAGCCCCCACACAATATGTCACTCTACTGGAAAATTAAAATAAGCATAGCCCTAATTTAGTGCAGGTGGATTTAATTATATTAATTTAAAGTCATATAAGCATGCTGCAAGTGTTGCCTGCACTATAACATTTATTCCATGCTTTTTTTTTCTTAGCATAATAACTTCCTCATTAATTCTGCCCGCTCGCCAGTTAACTATGTCAACTCACATTCTATAGACTTAAGAGAAAGTATAAAGTCGTAAAAACTTTAAAGCTACAATATGTATTATTTTTTTTCGCCGCTAGGTGCCGCTAACCTTATACAATAACAAAGGCGTAGATAGATGACGCAGTGAATAAGCGGAATCATGGAACTTGTCTTCATGCCGATGGATCTAATAATGTTTATGGGAAATAATGTTTATGGATGAGTAGTTAATACATTCATGTGTTTTAACATGACTGTGGTATGAAGCAGGGCGCGATTGCTAATGAGAGACAGATATCAGCGCCACACGTGAGTCCCGCGGATATATAGGAATGAGGACATTTCATTCTACAAAACTACCCGCAAGTGCTCAATTAATGCTTAAACTGGTCAGTTTATGTAACAAATTAAAATTGTGAGGTAACGCAGCACTGTTTCACTTGGTCTACACTATCATACTAAACTGCATTTGAGTGTGTTGAAAGTTATAATGTTATATGTGTTAGTTTGTTGGCTGTATGAGACTAGCAGTAAGCTAGATCAACATTAGAATAACATACTGATCAAATTCTAACATTTCATCATGTTGAGCTATATAACATTGTTTCGTTTTATGTACATTTGCTCACCTGTCTAATAAAGAACATGCAAGAGCGGCGTCTCTGTCAAGTCGTGAAGCTCTGTCAAGTCAAAGTTTGTCGTGCACGCGAAGCTCTCGGCATCTCGGAAACGCCACACAGATATTGATCCTCGTTTTATTTCTCCTTTTGTCCCAAAGTCTGCTTGCCATGGTTCAAAATGTTTGAATGAAACAACAGCGTGCCGCTAGACGTTACGCAGTTGTCCACGTCATGTCGCCATGCAGTACAAGCAGAAACCAGGGATAACGCGGATATTACGTCATTGATAGGTGACAAGTGACAAGGGACGGGCACTATTTAAAATTGTGAATTTCTCTGAATTTACAAATGAATTGAATTACAATTGAAAGAAATATATAACAATGTGCGAGTGGTTTTTGGATATTTTGATACAAAATTCTTACATATTGTACCTACCGTACATATTGTACCATCGATGAGTCAGTATAAAAAGAGAAAAAAGTACTTTTATATTCATAAATATTTAAGTGGTCAAATTCTGTGGCAAACAAATGTATTTTATGTTAAAAAAAACTGACCTATAAAATATTACAGTTCTATGTTGCTGTGCCTTGGTGAGCAGCAGCTACAGCTGTCATGTTACTCCCCAGTCCCATGCATATTGCATTCATAGTGACCTCAATTTAGGTTTACTTGTCAACTTCGTTTTTTTTCAAGAACCGGTAAAGTAGCTAACAAGGGTCATTTATCATTTTTTCTTACAGTATGTCTGTATTGTTCTACCGAAGCATTCGCAGTGACTCAGTGAGCACAGTTACAGCGTAAAGTGGAAACACACCGGGCAAACACACCTGGAAAGATACTGATAGTAGTTATGATGTGCAAACAAACTGAGACTCTATATCAGCTGTTTGCAGTGACATTATAAAATAACAGAGGCATACCCTGATAGAGAAAACATTCATCCCTGTTTAATACGATAATATTTGTGTCACATGTTATGAATGGATATGAAAGTTCGGTGCAAATTAAAATTTACATAACAGCATTTGTGTATAACACTAATGAACATATAAGCAGGACTGGGATATATGAGTCTCACTTTTTACTCAGTAAGTATTTTATACATGGAAAGAATGAGTGAACATTTTAACCATTGATGGCCGAGAAAAAAAAAAGTTCAGTTCACAGAATAGACAATGACTAATAGTGGGGCAAGATGTTGCACTATTTGGGGTAAGTTGTCACAGTGGAACAGCCTATTAGCCTATTTTATAAAAATAAAATAAAATAATTCATGCCTATGGCTCAGGCTCACTGTGTCCCGACAAGCAGTTTGGAGAATTGATGGATAGGTGAAAAAATAAATAAATAATAATAATCCCTGCCTATGGCTCAGGCTCACAGTGTCCCTACATAGGACAAGCAGTTTGGAGAATTGATGGATAGGTGAAAAATAAATAAAATTAAGGTAAAGGTAAGGTAACCATATTTGGTCCAAATAAAATATTGAATTGTAATAATTAATGTTAAAAACATGTGGCTCCAGGTTGACATTTATGAAAAAAATACCCTTGTCCTGAGAACCTTTTAGTTTAAAAACTACCTTCAAAAAATGTATAGGCCTATTGAACTTTTAGTTTCACAAAAAAATATTTAATTTAAGGCTACATTTAAACCAACATATTTGAAACGAACATGCTGGAGAAAATACACATGTTGATAGTACTTTTGACTCAAAAGCTCCTAGTTACTCGGATACAACCCTTGTGACAACTATCTCCGTTCTAGTCTACTTTCAATTATATTCATTAAAAACATGAACATGTGTAAACTGTCTGTAATTAAGTGTTACCATATTTTGCAGGACTTGTCAGACTAATGAGGCCATTTCAAGAGACTGCAAATTGCAAATTCGCCTAAACAATTCTCACAAATAAAAAATACTTCAAAAACTAACAAACACAATTCAAAAGCGACAAAGAGGAAGGCGGCGCGAGACACTCGCGCAACCCACTCACAGCGCTCGCCCCCGGGGGAAACGCGTTCATGTGGCAGATATCTGCGCGGCGCCGCTGTCCATGGTACTAGGGCACACTCGCGCTGCTTTTAGCTTTATTGCTGTTTAATATTCAACCCATGCACACAGTCCCCGCTACAAGACAGTTGATACATCAGCAGTTTGACTCGTATAGACTGTTCCTCTCACTACAGATGCCTCATGGAGGTATAGCAGTGGTGGATGACAACGCTGTTTTGGTTCATTATGGTGTGGAGCATTTTTCTCAAGGTGACTGGTGTGTCCAGTTTCTATTGTTTCAGACATAGTGGGCAGCTACAGTCTAATGGACACAATTCATATAGTCTAATACTATTTTAAAGGCAATCTGTTCAATTAATTATAGGTTTTTACTTAGTCCCCCACATCATCCAACTGATTATCCAATGTTGCTGACAGTGCAAAAGTAGAGGAGACCGGGGAATGTAACATTGTATTTAAACGTCTGAAACTCAGTTGATTTTTGTGCTATGCATTTCAAACTTTAATATTATGTTCCCATATGTGTCTGCTATAAATTTAGAAATCTACAAATTATTCCTAAACTCTTTATATTAATGGCAAATACAAAGATTGCTGCTGTTACATATACCTCGTATAGCTATACCATATAAGTTGTAACACTAATAACAACATGTATTTTAAATTTGGTGCATTAAATAATTGTAGTATTAAAATGTATATTAAAAAAACTATTAATATGAAAAACATTTTGTTTTAATATAAGCCTACTGTCCCATTTTATGCAATCTTTGTGGGTCCACAATACAGTAGTACATTAGAAAGTGTTACAACCCTCTCATTATATTTCTATTCTTTTAACATGTTACCTCAAAATTGGTTTTGGTCCAGTAAATCCTAAACTTCTTACAACTTCCCGAGTCTTAAAACTTCTATTGTCACTTCATAAGGGTCTTGGGTAACACTTTATTTTACAGTGTCCTTGTTACATTTACATGTAGTTACTGTAGCAATAACTATAAATTATACAGAATTACATGCGACTAACCCTAAACCAAACCCTTATTATAAGTACATGTAGTGGACTAATTCATTCCAATTTAAACGTTGGCATTACAATTCACCCCGTGTTACATCATTCCCATGTCTCCTGTACAGTATGGCCATATATTTACAGTGCAGTATTCATTTAGATGAGCAGAAATGCACTAACTATACATTACAAAACAAATGCAAGGAAATATCTTAAGAAGGAGCTGGGTTCCCAAATACAGTAGCCTATATTCAAAAACGAAAATCTTGATAGAAGAAACAATGGCACCAGATTGGCTTACTGCTAGAAATCGTCCAGTCAGCAGAAACATCTTCTAACACATTACTTCAGATGATTTCTACAGGGTAGGCTCTAATGAGAGCCCAATTAAGTCCAAAATCTCTAGTTTCCAGCAGTTCCATTGATTAAATGGAGGTAAGTTGAATGCAGGAGGCTTTGCACAAACATCCCGCTTACACTTCCCAATTCAAACGACCTAAAATGAAATAAGATGTTCTTAAAACGCCCTGTGCCATCATCATTCACTTACAATTCAACTCTAATTCACATCTAAATCTGCGTTCGAGCAGACAAGAAGCTCCTGCTTCATTCATTTCCAATGCAGCAAAATCACGAGGTGTCTTTCCAAGCATCTTTTGTGGAAAAAAAGTTGTAGCGCATACCTCAAACAAGGGTCCGATTTTATTCTTCTCCAGGTATGACTGAATTCTTGATTGCTGAACAGACGCCATGAGAATGCGTTGCATTAAACAGCAAATGGTTTAGATATGGTTAAATATAGCCAAGCATCTTCAAACGTGTGGGTTTGCGGACGGATCTCTAGCGGGAAGTGAGCGGACATCCAGCGCTGCTGAGAGCTCGTCTGCTGCTCCAGCACATGCTGAAAGTAACAGGGTTTGGTCACTATCTGATGGGACTGTCCCTCCTCCGGTCTCGGCAGAGTAGCAGGCGACGGCTTCTTCTCAAAGCCAATGAAAAAAGATTACACCTCAGGTCGATTTTCATTGGCTGTTCATGTCTGAGAGACCCGCCCTCGTTGTTTACACAGAGTAAGTGTCATTAAACTCATATGACGTTAAAAAATATGAAACTTATATATAATGCAAAGGATTCTTGTGGGCTTATTATAGCACAATCTTGTAGGCTATATGTATCCACACTCATGTATTATATTGCTTACTTCAAGTTTCAGTAGCATATGCGTTAAAATACTTTAACAACAAAACTGCATGCATTTTGCGGAAGTACATAGTTTGTGTTGTCCTGCGGCCCTGCGGGACTGTTAGGATGAGTATCCTTCTGCTCATAAACACTCCCTATAGGCTGCTTAAGAGATATAAGTTTAATGTTGGATGGAAAGGATCTCAAGCTGTTGTAGCTATAGCTACCTTTTAATAGATGCACTTCCTTGAAAATAAATTCCAACACAGCGTTGTAACAACCATAATGAAATGACCTTTCACAATAGATAATGCTTTACAGTGAACTCCGTTGGAGAGCAACATGGCAATTTATCTGTTCAATAAAATACCTTACTCACCTGTTGACTAATAAAAAAACGCAATCTCCACGTCGCTTTTACAACATTTCTAATGTCAGTTCGCGCCTTCTACGAAAATCCAAGAAAATGCTGTGTCGCGTTTTATTACGAGCTCTGTCGCGTTCTCTTTTTTTCCAAGAAGCTGTGTTATTCGCGCGAAAAAACCTCCTGCTAGGTCTAATGGGCCGTTTACAACAAAAACCGGAAACCCTTTTTATGCATTTAACTTTTAAAAATGGGTTTTAAAGTGGAAGTTTAAAAAAACAACAACGATAGGCTACCATTATTGTAGGCCTATCTGTGTAAACTACAACTAAAGCAAAATTGTGGAAAACGGTGACGCCATGCGTATTACGTGACGTGTTCAGTCTAAAGGCGCGTATAGTGTTTCTTTAAAGAGTGACATCGCCAACTACTGGCCTGGAATGCATAATACAGCTATTTTAATCGTTTTCGTAGATCCGCGTTAACGGGATCGTTTTGTCATCTATAGATAGATTTGTCTAATATAGATTTGTCATCTATATTATATGCAAAAAACGCAAAGGAAAAACTTTTCGTGTAAACGTACCCTAAATATAGGCCTACACTTATAATGGGCTTACCATAGAATCAGGGTAAGACAAAAACACGTTTCGGAAGAAGGATTGAAGGTGTATCGACTCTTTCTCTCGCAAATGTTTTGCGTTCCCCCGATAAACTTTGTGTTAATTTGCAAACACAAAAGTTTTGCAAAAGAACGCAAACGTTTTTTTGTGAGAGAACGCAAGTATTTTGCAAGCAAATGCAAAGTTTCTCGGGGGAACGCAAAAAACAGAACATCTGACTGGAATCCATTTACTCAATAAAAACTGCAAGTGACAGTGAGCCCGGGGAAATTATGACAGGTAAACAATGTTTGTCAAAGACAGTTGCCTACATGCAGAGGCCATTAGTGAGATTCCTGAAGACTTTAACTTGTCTGATACCAGCTGCACATCTGATGGATGATAGCACAGCACATAAAGCAGCTGGGAGTTTGTGAGCACTCAGCGCATAGCCGCATACTGTCAGATGCAAACTAAATACATTCACTAGAGAGACCTGTGACAGATTTGCAGCACAAATTTAAATCAAAATCACTGTTTAAGTCTGTTGCATAAATATTTATAGTCACGCAGGGTAAAAAAATATATATATATATATAGTATATAAGAAATATGATTGCATTTTCTTTTAAACATTTTTTATTTGAAATGAATTACGATTTGACATTGCAATTTACTATAATAATGGGGAAATCAATCTGGTTTTCAGGTTAAAAAGATACATGTATTCGGAAAATCTCAAAAAGGGTTAGTTTTAAGACAAAATAAATAACTTTTTTTTAACTAAAAACATTTTTACAGTAATATCGTCACATGAATTTATGTAACCTTCTGGCTGCTTTTATCAAGAGCATGTATAATTCAAAGATGCATCATATAACATAAAAATATCTTCTGTTTCTCAAAATGGTGCTTACGCAGTTAATAAACAATTCCTGTTTAGCGCGGTTTCTCAATATTGCATAGTAATGACTGATTAATTTGTTATTTTAAGCAACACTAATATAACATGTAACAATAACTCCTGAGTACTGAATTTTTAATTGTGGCGAGAAAATCATTTATAGACCTATGTAAGTGTGACAAATATATAAACCTATAACACTGATGACCGTGTCGTATGAACTTTCCAGTACTGTGTGTCACTCTAGATTCACTGAGACTGCAGTACTGAGACTGCAACATGTAGCTTAATGCACTATGGTGTTAATAAACTCTAAACAACCTTTAAGAGTTGAGAAACCTAATGTGAAAGCTAAACCTATATGTCAAAGATTTATATGAGAATAGATGAAATAAAACAAAATGCACATACAGTTGCAATGAGGCTTTTGGATATATGGCCCAAAAAAGCAACTATAAACAGGTTACGCCTTAACATAAGAGACTAAAGCACTGTGCAAAATCTTTTACATAAAGAAAAAAAAAGTTATTTGAAACAGACATTGTGATTGACACTCTATTGATGTGAATGACTTGACAGCAGCGGCGAGATCAGACATTCTGTTTGTTTGATCTTCAGTCTAAAATGAGATGTATGTAGCAAAGCATAAAATAAAATATTGGTGCCTTTAAAAAGCTATGAGAAAAGTCAATAGATATTATGATGTGAACTCTTGAGAGGTGACAGATGCCTCTGAGCAGGAGAGAGGCTAGACGTCCAGGCAGTCTCTTTACTTAGACAGTGTGTGTGTGTGTGTGTCGTCTGGAGTTGAACCAGGGCTGGTCCAGATCTGTTGAAGACATGGGTTCAAGGGTCGCCGTCAGGAGGTGGAGGCTGACACAGTTTGTACAATCTGTTAATAGAATTTTAGAAATATTAAAATATATGTATATTGTGTGTGTGTGTGTGTGTGTGTGTGTGTGTGTGTGTGTGTGTGTGTGTGTGTGTGTGTGTGTGTGTGTGTGTGTGTGTGTGTGTGTGTGTGTGTGTGTGTGTGTGTGGAAAGTAGAGTTTGCAGTTTTCTGTGATGGGTAGGGTTAGGGGACAGAATATATAGTTTGTATATTATAAAAATCATTATGTCTATGTAATGTCCCCATAAAACATGAAAACCCAACATGTATCCCAGAACCTTCTTGGATTTAGGCAGCATTTGTTATATGCCAAATAAACATAAGCCACAGCGATGATCACATGCAACACGCTATGAAAAGCTATGAGTCATTGTCTTGAGTGTCACGCTACAGTACATCTCCCTATACGGACCTCAAGTGACTGTGAAAGATTAGAGTTTACACTGGAGTTTTGAACCTGCTGAGAGAGAGTGCTTTTCTCTCTCTCTCTCTCTCTCTCTCTCTCTCTCTCTCTCTCTCTCTCTCTCTCTCTCTCTCTCTCTCTCTCTCTCTCTCTCTCTCTCTCTCTCTCTCTCTCTCTCTCTCTCTCTCTCTCTCTCTCTCTCTCTCTCTCTCTCTCTCTCTCTCTCTCTCTCTCTCTCTCTCTCTCTCTCTCTCTCTCTCTCTGGTGATGGCTGTTCTAAGAGAGGACATGAACTTTATGTTGAAGAATATGCTTTGTGAATTTAATACCCAGCAGGTTCATTGTATATGGATGAAAACAACAATGTGCACATTTGCAAGAATGCTGTGTCTTTTGTTTCATACGGCTGTACTACAGGAGTTCATTTGAAGAATAAATGCCGAACAGCCGTACCCGAGTTTCTGTCTCGAATGAAACTGTGGGCCGCTTATCACTAGATTTGCATTTTCGTAAAGAAATACCAGTCCTTGTCAAGCAGCAAATAATAGTGTTATACAGTAGCTGTATGTGAGCTGTATTATTTCAAGTCATAAATATTATTTAATTTTGATGAATCTACCTAAAAACATTCATTTGTACCAAAAAATGTGTATGGGTTAAATCAAGTAAAAAACAAAAAAAGGTAACAATTGGTTTTCCAAATCGTCAACCAAATTGTTGAAGTCCAAATCAATGCAGTTTCAACGGGCTCTGCACGATCCCAGCTGAGGAATAGGGTCTTATCTAGCGCAACGATCGGCCATTTTCAAAAAAAAAAGTATATACTTTTTAACCACATTTGTTCGTCTTGTGCTGGTCTGCGACACGCCAGGCATTACGTAATCATGTTGGAAAGGTCACGCTGGACGTAGGCGGAAGTACCGCCCCATTGTTTTAAACATCCAGGATACACACACGAAAGGACCATTTTAAACAATAAACTGACACAAAGACATAAATATGTCATTCAACATACAATACAATTTGAACGATCCTCCTTCTCCACGCTTGTAAACAATGGGGCGGTACTTCCGCCTACGTCCAGCGTGACCTTTCCAACATGATTACGTAATGCCTGGCGTGAGCCCGGTCACAGAAAATGACCGTTCGTTTCGCTAGATAAGACCCTATTCCTCAGCTGGGATCGTGCAGAGCCCTTTGAAACTGCATTGATTTGGACTTCAACAATTTGGTTACCGTTGAAGTCCATTGTGTGGAGAAAAATCCTGAAATGTTTTCCTCAAAAAACCACTGAAGAAAGAAAGATATGAACATCTTGCATGGCATTGAGATGAGGAAAGTTTCATTTCGAGGTGAACTAATCCTTTAAAGCCAGGGACACAGCAAGTCGGTCGGCCAGTTTTGATCCATTTTTGAGCGACGGTTAGCACAGTTTTTTGGTGTGTTCCGCACCGTTGACTATTATTGAACCGTTGACTATTATTTTTTTTGCTGATGTTATTATTTTCATAATAACATG